TCTTATTTTCTTCTACTCCATTTTTCTAAAGCTGACCTAGCCCTATGTAACAAAACCCTAATATGCAAATCAATTGAACAGCAGAATGACTGGTGGCTATGACGCTCACTGACACCAGGGGGCAGACACTCAACACAGGAGCTGCCCCCAAGTGGTCAGTGTGCTCCCACAGGGTGGGGAGTGCTGCTCAGCCAGCAGCCTCATGGCTGGTGAGTGCAGCAGCAGTGGCGGAAGCCTCTCTGGCCTCTGCTGCAGGCAGGCAATAAAGATCAGGGGGTCCCGGTCTGTGAGAGCCTCAGACTGCGAGAGGGATGTCTGACTGCCAGCTTAGGCCTGATCGCCAGGGGGCATGGGACCTAAGCTTGCAGGTGGACATCCCCCATGGGTCCTAAACTGCAAGAGGGAGCAGGCTAGGCTGAAGGATCCCCCTCCCCCAGTGCACGAATGTTGTGTGCCAGGCCTCTAGTTTTTTATAAAGTATAGTTCAATCACAAGATTAACCTGGTTAGAAATGGTCATCCATTACCTATTGAAATAAACTAACAACTAATCTAGTATTCAACATCATCTAAGTTTCTTTTCCATCTCTCTTTCCCATGTCTTTTATCTCTATGCATAGAACCTCCCACTTAGATGTCACATTCTGTATTTTGAGTCCCACTCTCTCTTAAATCTCTCAAGTATCTTTGTATCTCTGTGACACCTATTTTCCTCTGCTTTCTTTGGTTAAATGTGTCTTATTCCTCCCACTCTCCCTATTAGATGTTAGAATGTTTTATACCAGCAATTGTATCTTGCTCATCTTTGTATTCCCTTTAACACCAAGTACCTGAATAAATGTAAAGTACTCAGAAAAGTAATAAAAATAATACTAAATTGAATGGAGTTCAGTATTCAACATTTTCTTACTATCTTCTTACTTCCTAACCAGACACGCCACAAAATTCCTACAGCAACATCTGAAGTAGCTGGCTAAAATAATGTGTCATCTGTACTGTTCACATTCAAATTGTAAAAAAATAAATTAAAAAATTGTAAAATTTGCAAATATCTAAAATATGGCTTATTTGTGCCTCTTTCCTGGGATGTCATACATGCTCTAGTGTGCTTGGGTTGTTGTTTTTTTAATTAAAACTGCTTTTTATTATATTCAGCATGATTCCCAGATTAATTCTGGCTGTACTTGTACTTGAAAATATATTTGCATAAATTGGGTGTTACTCTTATTAGTGGTTATTAGCTTTCAGCATCCAGGGTATGGTCACTCAATTCATGCAGTAAATATAATGAAATTGTTTTCATGTTGTTACCACAATGTAAATAGAGACAACAATGCGAGTCATCATCACACAGGCATAAGTCAGGGGCCAAATAACCTCTCCCAAAGGAAAGATACAGCACAGAGTAAAACTGAGTTGAGATGAACATTCCATTAACCCCATCACCTCTATGCCCCTTGGCTTTGTAGAAATACTCGGGAAGAATCTGGACAGCTCTGGAACTCTGACACTCCCAAAGGCAATAGGATGCAATTAGCACTGTGCATTTTTAATAGCTTACACGGCAGGGGAGAAATGTCTAAGAGGATATTTAAATTCAGCATAGAATTCTAGCAACCGCAATTTTAATTGCATACCAACTGCAAAATATTTCTCTCATTGTCTAAATAAAAAGGCTATAATTCACGCTGTCTGCTTGGTTCAGGACTCAGTTATTAACCTTTAAGAATCTTTTTATTTTCTAGGATAAAAGCCTCTTACTCCCACAAATGCATCTTGAGACTGGGACTTAATTTTAAATCCCAACTCCTATTTTGGAGGACTCTGAAACTTCAATCCCTGTCATGAAAATATCCTGAACAATATTTCAGACCCAGGAATTTTAGGGCTTTTTTGTATTTTTTTTAACTTGGAGATAAAACATAAGTTTTAAAAGTCACAAAAATGAAAAGCCACCTTCTCCAACACACAAATACACACATGTTTAAAACATGCAAAATACACAATCTGAGTACTCCATAGCAGGTCACCGGAAGCATAAGCAAAGGCTAGGTGGCTGTTTCCATAGCAATGACTCTATGTAGTTTAGCTCTTCTGGGAATTTAACCAAACCCCCAGTAGCGGAGGGGGGGGGGGGGGGGGGGGGAATCATCAGCAAAAATGCTGTAACATATGGCAACTGCCAGCAAATCAGTGAGAGGAGAATGCTTTTATTTCCTCTTCCTTCCTCCTGGCAGGAACACTTTCATGTCAGGTGATTTGAGGAAGCGCACAGACTTTGTTGGTCACTCAGCACTTAATTCAAAATTTAAAAATACGAGGCTTCCTCCTTTTCTTAGGATAAACGAGTTGTTGGTGCCCAGCCAGGCCCAGCAGCACATGCATTCCAAGAGTGACATTTAGCCATGGGTAAGAGCTTCTTGCATCTTCCCATGATCTCATGTTATGACTCTTAAGTCAACTCAAGCTGCAGGGTTATCTCTTGGTAAAGAATGCAAATGAGATTTTAATATTTATTTTGTTTTTTAAACCATTCTCTGTGTGTATGTGTGTGGTGTGTGTGTGTGTGTGTGTGTGTGTGTGTGTGTGCGCGCGCGCGTGCGCGCAAGTTTTTAGTTCTACCTATGGCTCAATAATTAAAGTAAGAGTTTTCAGCAGGAAAGAACAGATGTGGCATGTTTTATTATCTTCTTCAGTCTCACCACTCCTGCATCTGAAATGGTCTTCTAAGTATCAAGTTACAGGCCATTGAGTCGGAGGTACTTAAGTTCTCTCTTCAGCATAGCTTTGCAAAACCAAATACAAGGAACAACATGCAACTAGCAGCCAGTGAAAGTGGTTGTCTCAGAATGAGAAAACACTCTCAATGGCAAGGAATGCCTTGCGTTCTGAAGAGCACGTTCTATTTCGAACTTTCTCGGTGTTAGAAACAAGTTTCCTAGGCTGAACCTAAAACTACCTCCTTTTACTCGTGCTGCTCACCCCCGCTGTGTGCTTCTGAGGAGACACGCGCTTCTTCTACACGACAGCACCTTGCCGACCCGAGGACAGTGTGAGTCCATGTTTTACTTTCCTTGTAGTCCCCAAACTCGACCCCTCTCCATCCTCAGTGGCATTACTTTTATTGTCTTCTCTATCCCACCTCATTCACCTCTAGAAGTAAGTTATTGTGCCAATAACTTCCTGCACTCCACTTTTTTAAATGTAAAGTAGAACCGTTGGCCTAAATTAGGGGTGACGATTGAAAATGTCACTAGAGGCCAGGCAGGAAAGGCAACTGTGTGAAACATCACAGGAAGTGGTGACAATGGCGGTGACTGAAGGATGAGGTCCTGCCGGAAACCAATCACTGTCTCACTAATAGAGAGATGTGGACAGGAAGCCCGAAAGGCTGGTCAACAACCTTAATTACTCTAACCACTCACTGTTTAGTTGAAGCATTGTTAGCTGAAGCAGCCTCTACCTTTGTCTTATGTATTTTTTGTTATTGGAATTTCCTGTCTAAGGGCTATGGTTGTATCCCATAGTCTTAATAAAAGAGATAGCAAGGCCAGAGCAGGGTAGTAGTCCTCCCCCTAGAGGTGGGCTCCCACCTAGCTCCCAATATTCCTAAATTAACACATTCCAAGTCTCTTTTCATTTGTGTGTGGCCTTTCCAGAACCTAACCCTGAACCACGTCAACGTGAAAGGGGTTCCCACAAGGTCCCAACCAGAGTATTACAATTCACATTCTTTAAAAGAATGCACACATGCACACAAAACACACACAACTCGGTCTGCAGTTGCAATCCTTGGCCTTAATTACTCTGATAGCAAATACTAAATTAATAGAATATAACAACTTGTGAACTTAAAAAAAAAACAAACCTTTTGCTGATTAGGCTAGGAGAGAGGAACAGTCACCTATGCCATCAGGCCACTCTATCTAAGTATCATGGGAATGTAGCCAGTCAATTTTCTCTCAGCGGTACATTAAAAAAAAAAATACAAACCAGCCCACCAGTGGCTCAGTGGATGAGCATCAACCTATGAACCAGGAGGTCACGGTTCAATTCCTGGTGAGGGCTCAATCCCCAGTGTGGGGCATGCAGGAGGCAGCCAATCAATGATTCTCTCTCATCATTGATGTTTCTATCTCTCTCTCCCTGTCCCTTCCCCTCTGAAATCAATACAAATATATATTTTTTAAATCAAAAACAAAATTGTCACTGCCTCATTGCTCAATATGTTATATCATGTAAGCTTGTTCTCCACCAGAATGAATAAGGCACACCATAATTGAACATAATAATAAAAAAATTAGACTGAATAAAAGGTAAGGACCTACTATCACAGAGTATTAAGAGATGCACATTATTAATTTCTACATTCCATTAGCTCTTTCCTTTGCGAAGACTTAAATTTTATTTTCAAAAGCATAAGCTGTGCTCCCCTTAGTATTTAAAAGTTCTAGTGCTGCCCTCCAAAATGTATGTAAATTGTCTGTCTTCCTATTAACCACAAGAGCACCTTCAGGAACCTACTAGCTAGCCCAAACGTTGTCTGTGGTCATAGTCCAGGGAAGGTAGTTGCTCTAAGTTTGCATGGAAACGAGGAAGTAATGTTATAAATATCAGTCTACAAAGCCCTGATCTATTTCCTACAAGCTTTAGAGCATAGAACATAGGACAAAAAAAAAAATAATAAAATAAAAAAAAATGAGTCAAGTCTTTCCTCAGGTTAGCCAAAAACATATTATTTTATGATCACCTGTCTCATAGTTGACTGTAAGCATTTGGTTAGTGACACATCTAGAGAATAATGCATGGCCTCAATGCTGGGGTTTTCCACATGCAAACTCCTTTTAAAGAAATAGCCCCTTGGCTTACCTCATAAGGCTGCTTAATGACTGGGTCATCATTATTCATAACTAAAAACACTCTTAACAAATTAACGTTAGAGTTCTGCACCCACACCAAATATTGATTCCCTAAAGAAAAAGAAAGGATTTGTGAGTTTACCTCTGTCCATCGTCTTTGATCCCGTAGGCTTGTCTGGGACAGTAAGACGGTCTAGGGTGCTACTCAGTGAAGACGGGTCGCCATTGGATAAAGAGTTCAAAACTCCACTTTCTGACGTGGTCACGCTGTTCTCTGGGGCCTTGTCACTGTGTGCCTCTGAGGGTCCAGGTGGGTGAATCTCCACAGCAATTGCTACAGATTGTCCCACATCTTCAGCAGCAGACGAACTGCTCATGTTGGTCAAGGACTGTCTTTCCTTTGACAAGGAGGTGGGCAGACTGCTGGCTGTCTTTACGGTACTTTCCAGGGAAGAGAAAGAACCCGGTGTTTCACTCAGATTGGGTGAAGATGAACATGCCTGCTCTGCTGCCTATTTTGCAGACATAAAATTGAAAAAAAAATAGTAAGTCATGATTAAATAAGCATTCTCTACTTTTAATATTCAATGAAGGCAATCCATTGATTCAAAAAGTGGCCAATAGTCCAGATAATATGTGTGATATTTATATCCATATGACAGGCATGATGATGCCACTTTCTAAAACCTGGTTTATAAAATTTTAAATTCACTGTTCAAGGATCTGAAAAAAAATTTCCATATCATGATTTACCTTATTCTTCAATGTTCTCCAGAAACTTAACAGGCCTCTTTGGGGAATTCTTTGGAATACTGAAGGACTCTTTGAGCAAAAAAGGAGATTGCAATCTATCACTAAAATGAGCAAAAAATCTTGAGAAATGTAATTAAGAAAGGAAAGCAAAAACTGGAGCCAGAGATGAAGCAAAATAATATTAACTGAGTGATGACCAGTAATGTGGGCAAAGCACTTATATTGATCAATCCTCAAGCATCTTTTACATATTCCTTAGCACATGACCAGTATCACCCCATAGCTACATAGTTAGGTGAAATGATGTTACCTCATTTGCTCTTTAATACTTTAAAAACTTTAACAATAAACTTTTACCAAAGAAGACAAGGACACATTTGCAGGCTCCTAATTCATTACAGAGAAACCAAAAACTGCCCCACAGACTAGGCGAACTGGATTGATGATGTAGGTCTCTTGCAAGCAGTTCCTAACACACAGTCCAAGGCTGAATGACAATCCCCAGTGAAATTTTCACCAGTCCATGGAGAAAATATCAATGCCACATCACCAACTCTCCTCTCTTGGTAAACACTCCGCTTATTCTGAGATTTTATCCTTGTTAGATTTTGATGTTAAAATACAGGGTGTCCCCCAAAATGTATACACACTTTGAATAATTATTAATTACATTGAATTCAATCTGAAAAGAAAGAAACATCAACTGAGCTATCAGCTATAAAGTGTGTAAATATTTTTGGGGGGGATGCTCTATATATTTAGAAAACTGTGATGGTGGATATTAGCTTTTTTTCTTATCTATAGTCATCAAAATAAAGATTTTGTAACTATATGTTGTCCTTCCATTTTTAATTTTATTGATCAGTAAGATCCATAAATCCAGACACCAGTGGTCTATGGCTCACCCTATATCTCCAATGGCAGGTAAGACTAAAAGGGCACTTTATGGTTCAGTTTCATAATGTCATCCTATGGAAAATTCCCATCAATTTTAAACATTCAAAACTCCAAGGAAGTGGAAAGGAAGAAATTGTTAGAGGAAAGAAGCCAAAAAGTAAACTAGGATCTCTACTCAGAGACCTCGGAATCATTGCAACTAACTCAGAATGGTTGACTTTGTTCCAAACCAATACTGTCCCTAGAATTTTCCAAGTTCTACGCTCTGAGTTCTGATGGGAAAAGCCTGTTTTTTGTTCAGTATGTGCCCAGTTGGCTGCATACTAAACATGAAGCATCAAATAATCAACAAAGCCACTTTTTAGTAGCATGACATTAAATTATCTAATTAAGATACTGACTCATCACATGCATCTTCTTAATAATATATGTATGAAGACATGAAAACTTTCCATTCAAGAATACATCAATGAACTTGGTAACCAGTTGCTTTCAATCACTCCACCATTTAAAATCTAAGATATCAAAGGAAGATTTGTAATTCACGAAGTAAAAACCCAGTTATCTGGAGAAAGGAATGCCCACTTGCCAAACTATCCAAATAAATGCCAGGAATAGTTTACTCATTAGCAGGATCTATAAAATAAATATTACAAAAATACCTACTCTGGCCCAGTCCCGACACACTCCCCTACTGTGAGCTATTTTGGCAAAGCTTAGCTTCCACGTGTTCAGCTTCCTTTTCTGCAGAGATGAAGCTCATGCAGTTTCTGTTGCTCCTGCTGGTGCTTCTCTAAATCTAATTATTAGATTATAGCGAAATGGATATGAGCCAAAAACTGCACACACCTGCAGCAGCACATCCCACAAGCCTCTAGGAACCTCAAAAGCCTGCTTAAAGGACTAAGGAGAGACCTGTTAAGTGAGCATCAGAAATGCCTGTGGTGCCTGTACCAGGGGTCCTCAAACTTTTTAAAGTGGGGGCCAGATCACGGTCCCTCAGAGAGCTGAAGGGCCGGACTATATGAACTACTAATTCCTACTGTAACACCTTGGCTGCGCTCACTGCCCAAAAAACCTGGCGGGCCAGATCAGACTCCTCTGCGGGCCGCATGTGGCCCGCGGGCCGTAGTTTGAAGACGCCTGCCAGTATTCCTGTCTGTGGTGCTACTCAAACACAGGGCAAATGCTCTCCATTTTCTCTAGCACCAAGTAGCATTTATAAATGTGATTTTTAAATGGAGAAAAGAATAAATCAAAGAAGAAAGAGGAGGAGGAGGAGGAAGAAGAGGAGAAGGAGGAGGAGAAGGAAGAGGAGGAAGCTAAGTGTATCAAGTCAAAGGGAGCTTCCATTAAAAGAGAGATTGATAAAGTACAAATCAAAGTGAACCTACAGCAACATTACGCAAGATTCCACACAGGAGCGTGCTTTATAGGCAGCATGGTGTCAAATCATGGCTCGTTATTTCTACCATTCTGTAGCTACTAATAACTGCAGCTACATGTCAAACAAAAACCTGTTGGCTCCATGCCTTCTGTGAGCCATCTGTGTAATACTCTCATAAGTTCCCCGCTGCGAATCAAACGAAGGTGGAACGGAGTGACTGACAGTCACACCCTTAGGTGGCTAACAGGAGCCCTATTTCCCAGGATCAGTGCAGAGGCACGCTCCGCCCAGAAGCTTTCTCTGGGGACGTCAGGGCAAAATAGGTACCTTTGCCTAGTGCTTGGGGCTTTCTTCGGTCACACCAGGTGGAATATCATTTTATTGGTCAACTGATACCGTAATTGCTGACTGACTCCTTCATCTTGTTCATCTTTGTTGGTGAGTTACTTGAGAACAGGCTATTTTTCATCATTTTTGCATCTCCATTTATTGCATCTGTGCCTGACACATTGGTCACAAACTAATGCCAACCAAGCGCAGACTGATGAGCCAGCTGTATGAAGAAAAACAGCCTTGGGGTGTCCAACCCGCTACTGAAGAGACCCTGAAATTCTCTGTGAAGTAGCTATGGGTGATTTTCCTAATCCTTGGATCTAAGGGTGACAGGTACCGACTGCAATACAAATGCTCATTCTCACAATCGCAAACAAAATTAGTATTTTATTTATTAGATATTAACAATTGGATGTGGTTTCACAAATTTGAGCACAATATTTTATTTTTTGTTGTGGGTGTGTGTGTTCTGTTTTTTGTTTTTTGTTTTAATCCTCACTTGAGGATATTTTTCCATTGATTTTTAGAGAGAGTGGAAGAGAGAAAGACAGAGAAAGATATCTGTGTAAGAGAAACACATCATTTAGTTGCCCCTGCGTGTGCTCTGACCAGGACCCGGGTTGGGGAGGAGCCTGCAACCAAGGTAGTAAGTGCCCTCGACTGGAATTGAACCAAGGACCTTTCAGTCTCAGGCTGACACTCTATCCACTGAGCTAAACTGGCTAGGGCTAAATATTTTATTTCTTAATGAGATATTTAAAGACATTTTAAAGATTTTAATGTTAATGAATTAAATTAAAATTTCAATATTACTTTTCCCCATTTTCTGTATAAGATACTTTTATTCATCAAAATATAGTTCAAATGCTGATTAGCTACAATTCCTTTGAATTGTTTTAAAACCCAGGTTTGGCATGGGGAAAATAGTTTTAAATGGCCACCAAAATCTTATAATTAGAAGGAAGTGAGTTAACATATAAATTTTAAGCAATATTAGTCAAAACATTTAAAAAATTGAAGATACAGAAATAGCTTAACACTAAACATAATAAAACCAAATGAGAAAAAAGAGGAATGTACACAGCCTTTTTTCCCTTTCATTTGCTCTATCAAGAAAAACAAACCAGTCAATTTCTCATTGGCTCTAGAAAATATTGTTTGCATTTCTATCATATGCTAGTAACATTACCATAAAAATCCAAATACCTTGGTATAGTATACTCCCTACTCTGTCACTGACCTTTTGCATGACCTTGGGCAATGAAGTAGCAAAAGATTCCCTCCTCAATCTAACCCTTAGTATCCATGACCTTCAAAAAGCCACTTTACCTCCAAGTTGTGTTCTACTGACTTCCTATCTCCGCCATCGCTCCCCTCTCCCCTGGTCCATCCTCCAGTCCAAACAATAACTGGGGTATTTTTAAAACATAGAACAGATCACAATATTCCCCTGCTGGAAAACCTTCTAATAACTGCCCATAGAAGTAGAAAAATGGCCCCAAGGCTCCATTATAGCTGAGAAGGCCTACAAGAACCCCTGCCAGCCCCTCAGGCACCATCTGCTGCCACCTCCCCTCCCTCTCCTTTCAAGCCACATTGGTCTTCCTGCTCTTTGAGAAAATCTCTGGCTCCTTGTGCCAGAAAGGCTTTCTGTGGATTGTTCATTGGCTGCCTCCTTCCCAGAATTTTGGTCTCAATATCACTTCCTCAGCAGGCTGTTCCCTGACAATCATACTAGTATACAAAGCAATAGTCTCTGATCTTAGCCCGGCCACTCCCTAGCACATTGCACCATTTTTTCTTCTTCAGAGCATTTATCGACAGTTGAGATTATTTTGTTTAAATCACAAATGTGTTGTGCCTCTTCCTCAATTTAGAACTCAATATGCTCAATGGAAGAGACACTATCTTGATTCGGCCTGTCTTATCGGCAAAAATACCTGGTACATGGTCCATACACAAAAATATTGCTTAGCTTTCTGACCGACTGACGCAGCTTTACTGAGAGGAGCAAATGAGATAACATCAAAGAATAGTCTTAATAAAATGTAAGTTTAAACATGCAAATGATACTTAGGACAGCCATATTTACTCTCTAAATGTGGCTTCCTTGCTTGTAAAATGAATACAGGATTTTTGTGA